CTTACGCGCATACGGCAAACAAGCAGCCTACGCGAATACATTAGGGAGTTCGAACGGTTGGCTTGTCGCGTGCGCGACTGGCCGGAAGAGGCACTAGTTGGCGCATTTATCGGCGGATTGAAATTCGACCTGGCTGCTGAGGTACGACTCGAGAGGCCCGACACCATGCATGACGCGATGGAAGTGGCCAGACGCCGGGAGGATCACCTGGTTGCAACTCGAAGGGGACGGGCGGACACCCGGATTCCCGACGCACGTCGCACGGGCCCAATCCAAGTACCCACGGTCGTTCGGCCTGCGGTCAATACACAGCCAGCGGGGGCGTTAGTCCGACACCTATCGCCGGAGGAGGTCAAACGACGACGCGAGAAGGGTCTCTGTTTTAAATGCGAAGAGAAGTTTACCCCGGGGCATCAATGCAAGCAAGCCTTTGTCATAGAAGTGGCCAACCCGGATGACAAAGAGGATGAGGTCGAGGAGGAACCGCCTCCAGACGACGAGACTGAGGACTTCAGAGATGAGCCTGAAATCTCGATGCACGCTATGGCCGGGATACGAGGTCCACGGACTATGCGCTTACCAGCTTGGGTCAAGGATCGAAAGGTGATGGTGCTAGTAGACAACGGGTCATCCCACAATTTCATCAACGCCGAGTTGTCTCAAAAACTTAATTTGCCAACTATGAATATTGAACCCTTTGAGGTACGGGTAGCCAACGGGGAGAGGTTGCAATGCACTAAGTCCTTCCGAAAGGTGCCAATCAGGTTTAGAGGAGTTACGGTGAAGGCTGATCTATATGCCTTACCCCTGGTTGGACCAGATGTAGTGCTGGGCGTCCAATGGCTCGAAGGACTGGGCAAGGTAACGACCGACTATCGAACAGGAATTATAGAGTTCAACTCCGAAGGACGTCAGGTCACCCTCAGCACCAGCACGGACAAGGAAGCCAAGGAAGTAGGGTTGAAGAGCATCGAGAAAGTTTGGCGTGGAGGAGGCCAAATCTTTGCCGTAGTAGTCGAAGATGTGGGAGCGCACTCGAGCAAAGACGCGCAACAACAGGGAGATGTGCGTGAGCTTCTCGAAGAGTTTGAAGGAGTCCTGGGCGAGCCCAAAGGACTACCACCGCACCGGGAGTTCGACCATCGCATACCATTGGTCAATGAACAGCATGCCATACATGTCCACCCTTATAGGTACGCTCACTTTCAGAAAACCGAGATCGAGCGGCAAGTGGCTGAGATTCTTGAATCAGGACTCATACAGCACAGCAAGAGTCCGTTCTCTTCTCTAGTTCTGTTGGCTAAAAAGAAAGACGGTACGTGGAGATTCTGTACTGACTACCGAGCTCTAAACGCTGCAACCATTAAGGACAGATTTCCAATCCCCAGTGTCGACGATATGCTTGATGAGTTAGCCGGATCACGTTATTTCTCTAAGTTCGATCTAAGAGCTGGCTACCATCAGATTCGACTTCACGAAGCTGACATCCCAAAGACAGCCTTTCGTACACACCAGGGGCACTATGAGTATCTGGTTATGCCATTCGGCTTGTGCAATGCCCCATCTACTTTCCAGTTCGCCATGAACTCTATTTTCAAGGAGTACCTGCGTAAGTTCGTTCTGGTGTTCTTTGACGATATCCTGATCTATTCAAAGTCATGGGACGAACATCTTGGGCATCTAAGGATAGTTCTCGAAATTCTGGAGGCCAACTCATTCCACATCAAACCGTCCAAGTGTTCATTCGGGCAGGAGATGGTTGAATATCTTGGACATTTCATATCGCATGATGGTGTGAAGGTCGACCCACGAAAAATTGAGGCTATGGTCGACTGGCCTAAGCCAACTAGCCTCACACAGTTGAGAGGATTTTTGGGGCTTACAGGGTACTACAGAAAGTTTGTAAAAGATTATGGAACCATCGCCAAACCGTTGACAGCGATGACTAAGAAAGGTGGGTTCACATGGACCGAAGCTAGCGAGAAGGCGTTTGGCAAATTGAAGGAAGCGATGACAACAACGCCAGTACTCGCCATGCCCAGATTTGATGTCTTGTTTGAGGTACATACCGATGCAAGTGACATTGGAATTGGGGCGGTGTTAGTGCAAGAGGGGCGGCCCCTAGCCTATCTCAGCAAAGCATTAGGCACTACTCGACTGGGTCTGTCAGTATATGTGAAAGAGATGCTAGCAGTTGTCGAGGCTGTACGGTGCTGGAGACCTTATCTACTAGGTCGGCGGTTTCAGATTTTTACCGACCAGCAACTGCTCAAGCATCTGTTGGAACAAAGGATAGTTACCCCCGAGCAGCAGAAGTTCGTGTCTAAACTTATGGGGTTTGACTTCGAGATAATGTATCGGCCGGGTCGACAGAACGCTGTGGCCGACGCGTTATCCCGACGAACGGACGTGGCCGAGTTAAGCGCAATCACGGGGCCTACTTGGGCCATTTGGGAAGAAATCCGGAAAGCACAAGCGGAGGATACCCATTGCCAGGAGTTGCGCCGATCAATAGA